AGGGGAAGAGAGCTGTTTTCCTCGGAACAAAAGATTAGAAGCTTGGAATCATGTGGATAGCATTAAATGCAATAGAGTGAGAATTGGTCTTAGGGTTTCACAATTGCTATTGTTTTAGTTTCAATCTCTCTCGAAATTGGTTTCCTTTTAATAAATTCTTAAGCCTTTGCTTCATGTCGGATCTCATTAATTTCTTGGTGGGGGTAATATTATCATATTATCATATAAATATATATGTATTAATATAATGCATACATGTGATGATGAAGATTTGAAATCAAACAAAGTCTAGTACTCTGGTCACTGCTGTGACGTGTTAGTGAATGGTTTGCAGCCATGCACTTCTCTGCATATATCTGACCCCGTGCTAAATAAAAGTAGTTTTGAATTCTCTGCATATATCCCACCTTTTCCTTTCTTATCATTTCATAGTTTTTAGTTGATTAATCATAACACAAGGTATGCCCTAGGAAAAGCATATTCATTATTATTGGTATGTATAAGCCATGGATCGCCTATTTTCAATACTTGCCATTTGGTCTCATGCTCGTGTGCAGTGACGACGGAGTCAGAAATTTTATCAAGAAGGGTCAACTTTAAATAACAAGGGTAAGAGTTATTTGTTACAATTAAGAGATATTCGAAAGGTAAAGAGAGAAAAGATCATATAAATGCAAAACACACACATGTCACACATATAGCAACAAGTAAAGAAAAGGAGAAAGTGAGTAGATTAAAAATGTGAGAAGGGAAAGCCGAGTAGATTAAAAATCAATGAAGCCAATTGGCAACAGACATAAGACAAACTCATCAAAAGATCAGGTGTCCATTGTGGGGTCTTAATTGGCTGCGCATGCTCATGTACATATACAAGTAGAAGATAAACGGGGAAAATGTGTGACAAGTCATTTGTATTCAAATTATGAAACCACTAGCAACTTCGACCAAAAAAATGAAACTACTAGCAAAACTATGCAGAATTTGAGGATGCTAAACATATTTTCTACGGAAAAGGACACTTTCATGTGTCTTTAACTTTATTGAAGATAAGTACTGTGTCCTAGGAACACTATCATCACTGTTGTGACAACTAGGTGACAATGCGTGTCAAAATTGATGTTTGATTTAAATGTCACTCAGATTCTTAAAAAAAGCTAAGAAATGTTCTAGAAATTGTAGTTTTTTTTTTTTCCCGGCATGTAAAGAATATTTGTGGTTTGGTCAAGACTGAAGAAAACAAGAAAAATAAAAGCCACAATAATTGTTATATACATGAACTAAATATTAAGGGAGGTGTTGGGGGCTGTGAGAGAGAGAGAGGAGTTAGAAATGTATGTTTCCATGTGAATGTCCGCCAACAAACATTCACGTTGAGTCCATCTCTCTTGGTGTGTTGGTCCCTCCCCGTTAGGGTTTCACATTGCTTTGATTTCGTATTTACTATAAAACCCTAATAATGAACCAACCCTTTTTCTCTCCCCTAATTAATGGCTTTTAAATTAATCACATTTTCATTGTTCCCCTTCTCTTAATCGTTTTTTGCTCAAACCCATACACAGTGCAGCACAAGCTAGAAAAAGAAGAGTCAAACCAGAACGTGAGAAGTACATAATTACAACTGCATGGCTTTTGCCAACCTATGTGCATGTACATGTATATATATTTATTTCATACCTTTCACGCGCCAAGGCGGTGGCCAACTAGAAGAAGAATCTATTCCCCTGCGTAAAATGCTGTAAAATGACTTAATTGCCCTTGCCATTCACACCTCGAAACCGCGGCATTGTTTTGCTAGAATTGTAATTTTCACACGCGAAATTGCTAGTTTGTCTAGTTGGGAATATCCAGATTCCAGTGTTTTCAAGTCTTTGCATTTGATTGCCGTTGTTTAAATGTGTTGATATTATTTTAATGATGAAGCATGTGGAACCATTCTTACCCTAGGCGGCCAACCTTGAACTAATATAAATATGCAATTTCAGCTCTCTGGCTTGAACACTACCAAGCTCTTCCTTTTTGTTTTTGGTTTTCTCTACGACTAGTACTTCTAGCTTTGCTTAATTACGTACAACTTCAGAGGGAAAAACTTTCTTTTTTGAGTTCTTGTTCTTTGAGTGAAATTAATGGGGGGGACTTCTCCATGTGCTTCTTGCAAGTTGTTGAGGCGCCGCTGCGCCAAGGACTGCATCTTTGCTCCTTACTTCCCTTCTGATGACCCTCATAAGTTTGCCCTTGTTCACAAGGTCTTTGGTGCTAGCAATGTCAGCAAAATGTTGCAGGTTTCTTTTTTTCCCCTCTCTCTAAACGTCTGATTAATTCTAAGAGAAACACTATCTACACTTCTTTCATGCACTCATGTGAAAGAGTACTACAAATAACATCGCCATATAATGACAGGTGTTATTTGCACTCATCCATAGGAGTGCATAAGCACAAGTGTAGAGTGTGAATAAATTTCCTCTCAATAGATAATATTTTGTTAAATATTTAAGAAAAGTAGTACATGTAATTAGGTTTCTTGTGTGTTGACTTATTATTCTCTGATAACCAGGAGCTTCCGATTCATCAAAGAGGAGATGCTGTGAGCAGTTTGGTTTATGAAGCAAATGCAAGAGTGAGAGACCCGGTTTATGGGTGCGTAGGGGCAATATCTTTCCTGCAGAACCAAGTTTCTCAGCTACAAATGCAGCTTGCTGTGGCTCAGGCAGAGATACTCTGCATCCAGATGCAGCAGGAGCCTGTAGCCTTACCCAACCAGATAGATCATCAACATAATCATCATCATCAAGATCATGATCAGAAGTCCCTTCTTTTATCCAACAGTGACTTCAATAACATTCCACATCAATACTTCAGCAGCTTTGCTTCTTCTAGCAATGTAATCCAAGACCCTCTTAAAAGAGAGTCTCTCTGGACTTGATTTGCTTAATTAGCTATCATCATCATCATCATCATCATTAATCAAAGTACTGTCAATCCATCTTTCCAATACAATTTCCTTTATCTTTGTTTGATCATAATTATTTAGTCTATTTCTGTGTGATTCCCATGTGCACGAATGTGTGTGTGTGAGAGAGAGAGAAGAGAATGATATCTGGAATTCTGGGTCAACCCCTGCATGTGGGAGATGGAGTAAAGTAGGGGTTTAAAAAGGCTTCTTTTTCTTACCATAGACGTCAGCTTGTAAATCTATCCCAGTAGCCCTATTTGACTAGTATTTTGTTTTTCTTTTTTTTCTTTTTGCGACAATCCCATTTTTGTAAGATGACTAATGTCTCATTAACAAATCTCAATAGTAAATAAATCTCAATTACAATAGAACTAAATAAACTGGTAAGTAACAAAAAAACCTAAGGAACCAAAATCCTAACTAAACAAGGACTCGCGAACAAAAGGAAGTTATATATACATGTAATAATTCCCTTGGAATCTAAGTGTCATATCTTCAAACCAAAAAAAATAAATAAGTGTCATATCTCAATATTCATATGAAATTTTTTTGGTGGCTAGATTTAAACTAGATTTTTTCAATTAAAATAGTTATTTGGCGAATTTATGAATGCTGAGATTGCACGTATTAAATTGGACAACATATCATGTCGTACAAGTCCAATATAAAAGAATATGACTCTAAGAAGCCACTGGAACTCAATTATAATTCAATGCAGGTCGAGCCACCATACGAGGTCTTTATTCCTAGAATAGTAGCGGATATGCATTTTTTTTATACCATGTCTAACCAAACCCTCTCAACTAGGACACATAGGATGGATGACCCTCAATTAAAGATTAACAGGGCCCAACCCACCCACCAGGGTTCACAATCGGCAGGGATTAGCCTTCGACAATCTCAATTGTCGATCCAGCCCAATGAAGGCACATGTCGTGCCACTTTCATTTAGGGACAGGTGGCAGCCCTTTGGGCGACAGTAATAATCCCACTTCGAAGTAATAATCCAAGGTACTCCACCTCTATCCTCTATAAATAAGGCTCTTGCCTCAATGCATCGAGTAATAATAACTTGGCACTAGTACCCTTCTTTTGTCTAATAACTTACTCACTTAATCTTTAAGCTAACTTAAGCATAGAGAGCTTTCGACTGATATCACATCAATACTTAAGATCTTATCGTTGCACTCTCTCTGTCTCTTTACAGATCCATTTTGTACCTGTTGTAGGACTCACGCGACATAAAGCAAACCCACTTTTAAGTTGTATTCATCTTCGGACATCAATACATATGTTTAAAGTAGCCAAACTAATTAGAATTAATATTTGATGGCTCCTATTTTTTAACGTCTTGGTAGAGTATTGACTAAGCAATATTATCGTTGATAAGTGAGATACAACTCAACTTATGCTCCTATAAATTTGTGGTTTTGCGGTCCAAATCTCGGCTGATGAGAGAGTGCATGGCAACTCAACCCAGCAAAATTTAATACAAGCTTTTGTGTTCACACACCACATCACATCACATGATGAGGTCGCCCAATTAACTGTCAAGCCAACACGCTTTTGGAATATATGGGCGGTGCATGCGTGTGTGGTCACATCACATATAAACACATGAAATTAATTGGGATCGTATTATAATTCTTTTGACTACACTACTCAAAGTCTAGGAGGAAGCCAGCTAAACATATTTTATTTAAGCTCCAAAAATGCTTTGTTTTAGCTGCTACAGGGATATGTCTAAATGCCCATAAACAGGAAGATCAATACAATATGAGATATAAACAAATATATGAGTTAAACTTCATACCATATGTATTGGGGAGAAAATCTTCAGAATTGTAGACCAACTGGATGGTTACTTCCTCCCCATCAAATATTGACTTCTCAAGTGAAATATCATTTTAAACGAAATTATTCTCATCTCAGATTGTCTAGTAACAATTACATCAAAAAGAATATTATTGCAAAGCTATATATATGAACAATCCCGCTTACCTTAGGTCCTTAGTGTGAACTATGGATATTAAACAGTTAGTGAGTTAGGTGTGCAAAGCACGTGAGTGGTTAGTAGTGAGGAAGTTAGATAGCTGGATTGGTTAGACGGTTAAGCCTTGCTTAACAGGTATAAAGTGTAACAATGCTGTAGCAAAACAGATTAAGCAATATAGAAATCAAAATTGCAATTTCTCTCCGTCTTCTTTCTCTCTTCTTCTTCATTCCTCTTTCTCATACTTCTCTGAGAATATTAGTTAACATGGTATCAAAGCCTTCAGTGGCTTTCACATAATCAATCGATCCTTCTACGCTTTCTCTTGCTGCCATTTCACTTCTTGCCTCCTTTCTTTTTCTTCCTGATTTCCTCCTTTTCTTCATTCAATTTCAATTCTAGGGTTCTTCCCCAAATTCTAGGGTTCGTTCTTGCCTGAGAATATTAGTTTCTTCTCTGTTCTCTCTATTTTCTCTTTTAATTTCACTTCTAGGTTTTTCTCTCTGCTTCATCATGGCTTCTTCTTCCTCCATCAAGATTGATGGCCTGCTCAGTATGGTTACCATTCGTCTCTGTGACAACAATTTCTTAAAGTGGAGTTTTCAATTGGAGTCTGTGTTGCAAGGGTATGAGCTTTTTGGGCATTTCGATGGCTCTATCGTTCAGCCCCCAAAATTTGCAATCTTGGACGAAGAGGGTGTTATATCTCAAGTAACAGCAGGTTACAAGGAATGGCTGAAGACTGACAAGGCCCTTCTCAGTTTGCTCATTGCCACTCTATCGGATGAAGCTTTGGAATATGTTATTGGGACCAAGACGGCTCGAGATGCTTGGCTCAATTTGGTGGATCGCTATGCCTCAGTTTCACAAGCTTGCATTAGTCACTTGAAGACTAAGCTCCAAACCGCTCAAAAGGGGGGAGATTCTATTGAAAGATTTCTGCTTCGTTTAAAGCATGTTCGAGATCAGCTTGCTTAAGCCGGTGTGAAGGTCTCAGATGACGATTTCATGATTGCTACCCTCAATGGTCTACCTCCTGAATATGATATGATCAATACCGTATTGATTGCAAGGGATTCCTCCATTTCTTTGAAGGATTTCAGAGCTCAATTGCTCGCGGATGAAAAAACTGTTGAAGCACGAATCTTGACCCACTCTGCCATGCTAACCTCTCACCATCCTTCATCTGGGTATCATTCTTTGGTGTCTTCTTCCACTGGGTATGCTCTTATGTTGCCATCTCTGTCTAATGGTACAGGTATACTTTCGACCCCTCCTGGTTCAACAGTTGCTTTTTATGCTTCTAATGCTCATAATCGATATCCTTGTCCACGTGGGGTGTCTGGTTCGAGTGGTGCTCCGATGTATAATGGGTCTAATGGCTTTGGGAGAGGAAAGTATTCTAATGGGGGTTTTGGTAAACTAGTATCTACATCTTCTCCGATGTCTAGTGATCGGTGCATATTTACATATCATTTTGTACCCTTCTAGCTTATGATTTGGTTATGTTTTTGAGTTAAACTTGTGCTTTTAATCCTTTTTGTGTTTATCTTTCAGTTCATTGAGCTTTAGGTAATAATGAGGGCTTTGGATAGTAAATGATGCAATCCATGCATGTTAGGGCCTAATTTGGATGAATGGATGAAGAGCTTAAAGACAAACTCAATTTTGGCTACAGTCCCCTGCCAGCCCA